TTGTTCAATTCTCTTCACCCATATTTTCTGATTCTATGTGTGTGACTGTGAGATTGACTTAGAAAGTCTGTTTTCCAGAAACAGTGTTTTGAATTGGTTGGATCTTTGGATGAAAGAGGAGTGAATAGAGCATTTAGCGTAACAAAGAAAAAAATATGTGGACCTCGTACTTGTAGGCAGCTTGGAAGAGTAGGAATCAAGTTCAGGGGACCTAAATCCTCATGTGAATCTTTTTTGGAATTAGTTCTGTTGACCTAAGGGGGCAGGTTATTTCGCTAGTCTGCATTTCAGTTTTTTTATTGCCCAAGTGGCAGTACTGTGTTCACTTACACAGGATGTGTAGTTTGAGCTTAAAACAAGGTAATGTGTATGAAAGACCTCTTAGAAGTATCTTTCATAAGTAAAAATTCCTGTTAGTTGATGAGTTTTCGTAATGGTGTCTTACAACTTCTGTCCTTTTTTTACGAGGTCATGTTTTTAAAAATAAAGGGAAAGGAAACCCATTGAACTTGTTTTTCTTTTAAACCATAATATGAATGAACATCAATTATCCAATGTAGTATTGTGTGTTCAGCAAATGAATTATCACATATTATAAACAATGGTATTTCTTTTGTCTCCACGTCAGCTTTTGGTATGATTACATGTATTTCTCTCGCTGTAGGTGGGATCTCATCGTGTTCGTATGTCAAGGGGATTTGAAGCCAATGCACCTGCTTTTGACAGGTAAGACTGATTATTTTTACCTAATGCTCTCAGTTTTGGTATCGTTAAGCAGCGAACTAGTTATTGTATTTACCGATTCATTTCTGCTTGTTTTGGCCCTAAGTAAAATTTCTTCTGACTTCTAATTTAATCAGAAGAAGGTGATACCTAGTATTATGACTTTGGGGGTTGGTAGCACTAGGTTGTGGGTCTTCATCTCTTGGTCTGAAAACAACCTATTTGGATATGCTGTCTAATAAGGTAGCCACTAGCCTCATATAGCTACTGAGCACTTAAAACGTGACTGGTCCAAGTTGAGATGTACTGTAAGTGTAACATGTACACTGGATGTCAGAGAGTTAGTGCAAAATAAAAGGTAAAATATCTTACTAATATTTGTTTTATAGTACATGTTGAAATATTTTGACTGTATTGGGTTAAATAAAATATAGAAATTTGTTTCATTGTTTATTTTTGCTTTTCTTAACGTACCTTCTAGAAAATTTAAAATTATATCTGTGGCTCATGTTACATTTCCTTAGGAATGCATTGCTCTGTAACCCCTGGAATGGTTAGAAGCTGGAGAGAAAGAAACAAACAAAAAACACCTATTTGGGGCCTATTTTTCTTAAGACTAGAATGGTTAGGGAGGTCTCTCTAATGCCCACGGAGCATGCTTTGTCCTCACATGAGGAGCAGCCCTCTGCCCTAGCTGCCCTCCCAAGCTGGGTGGCCTGCGTTCTCCGCTCTTGTCTGGCACCAGCCTCCCAGAGGGGAGAGGGGGCTGGGCGGTTCCGGCAGCCCCAGCACAGACGGAAGTCTCAGCTTTGAGGAGTCAGCGAGGAAAGGGCCTTACCTGAAGCTTCATAAATTCAGAGTTTTGAGAGGAACGGATTTGTGGAATGAATCTATCCAGTGTTGCCAGTTGTAGAGGTGTAGAATACTGCCCTGTAGGTTCTGTTTAATGGATTTCTGTTTGTTGGGGGAAAAATTCCGACCACCACTTGACACATACTTCTTTCTTTTCTTTAACAGGCATTTTAGAACGCTTAAAAGCTTATATGGTAAACAAATAATAGTAAATTTGCTTGGATCTAAGGAAGGTGAACATATGCTAAGTAAGGCTTTCCAGGTAGGCATGATCAACTTTTCTTCTGTTCCGTGGACACCTAGAATGATACTAAAAAATTATGTAGCACAATAATGAACTTACTTCCTAGGAAAAGGTTGGGTACCTGTTGGAACCATTAACTCTTTGGGCTACCAAGAAACAGTTTTGTGTAATGTTGCTGACATTAGGATTAGGGAAAGCTTCCAAAGCAGTTGACTCTATTTTCTGAAATGTTACTTATTTATCTTGTGGAAAAGCAGAAGAATGTCTTCCCCTCTGAAAAGTGTTCATCTGTCACTGGTAAAAAGACACCGGACGGTTTCCTTCTCCATCCACGCATTGCCTCTGCCTGTTTCCTAGAAACCATAGTCATGGCTTGAAACCTATGATACGGTGAATACTGCACGTAAGACCATCCCTTCTCGTACTGATGAGAGAAAACTCGAGAACTGCGAGTAAAGATGAACCCAAATGATATATGCCCAACTTCTAAAGAAAAAGTATTCGTCATCAATGCTTATTATTAAAGCAACAATGAATTAATAGCAATGATGGTGTTCCATAAGATGATAAGCCTAAATTAAACAAAACAGAGAACATTTTCTGAAGTTCAGAAAGTAACTTGTTTGACTGTTTTGTGTGATGCTTGTGAAATAAATATTGTTAATAAACAGATTATGCTTTAGAGAATGACTTTTAAAACATTTCAGTGTGAGTATAAAAACGTGAATTTTTTGGTTCTTAATAGGTTCTGTCTTAAATCAGTTACTTTATTTTGAGATTCTATAACAGGTACAGTTATTAAATGTGTAAAAAATGAAGCATTGGTGGTTAGAAATCATTTTAATTTTCTAAACCAGATGAGAACGTTATTTAAGTTCTCTGATGTTAATTATGTCACCTGATCTCTCTGGGACAGTATGCGAGGTTTCACGAAAAAGATGTTACTGGATACCATCAAGTAATTTTCCATTTTACTGCCAGTGTCAACCAGAGCTTTGTGTGAGATCAGTGAGATTTCACGGGACCATGCTGAGGTTTAAATTTAAAATGCAAGGTTCCATTCTAACATTACTTGATAAGATCATATTTAGTTAACATTTAGATGAGTATTTGCCTTTTTACTTTCAGAGTCACTTGAAAGCTTCTGAACATGCTGCTGACATCCAGATGGTGAATTTTGACTATCATCAAATGGTTAAAGGAGGAAAGGCAGAAAAATTACATAGTGTTCTTAAACCTCAAGTCCAAAAGTTTGTAGATTATGGATTTTTTTATTTCAATGGAAGTGAAGTTCAAAGGTTTGACTGCTGTTTCTCTTTTCTTTGAGTTGGAACTTTGCTATATTTTAAAAATTATTCTTAACGCAGAACTCTTGAATTACTTTTTTTTATATCAGAGTTTATAATTAAGTAAAATATCTTTATTATACTTGATTTTAGGCTTGTTTTTCTTTCTTTAGAACTGAATAGGTAATAATAATACCTTCTATTATTGGGCACATCTAATGAGCCAGGCAGTATACTCAGTCTGTACGTGTATCTGTAACAGCAGTCCGTAGGAAGAAGTTCTATTATCCCCATTTTCGTTTGGGGAGATTGAGGCATAGGCTCTAATTTGCCCCAGATTGCATAGCTAAAAAGTGTTAGAGCGAGGATTTACCTGGCTCCAGCTCTCATGCTGTTATCTAGGAGACTATTCTGCCTCTCTCTTAGAACTAATATTTTACTATGCCTTGACCTCAGTAAGGACTATTATATGCAAATAGAAGTAAAAGACATTGCTTATTGTCTGCTTTAGCACAATTTCAGTCTTCAGCTTTTGATAATGAAGTAGAGGAGGAAAGGAAGTATTGAAAAAATGAAGTTCAGAGTATAGGATGAAGTAAACTTTAGTGAACAAAGCTCCGATTTTTAGTTTTCGACTTTGTGCGAAATTTAGTATCAATGCCATAGAATCTGTGTAGGTTGGTGGAGCTAACAGATCTTAGGTTTTTAAAATTTCTTCCATATATATTTGATCATCTTTTATGTGCAAAGAGCCCTGCGGTTATAAATCTGAATGTATGTTTAGCTCCTGACTACGGGCCTAATTAGAAATAAGTGGGCATGGATAAATAGATGGTGATAAAGAGTATATGACAGAATGTTTAACAGTTGTAGAATCTAGATGGTGGGTATGTGGATGTTTGCTGTAAAATTCTTTCATCTTTTTTTGGATGTTTGAAAATTGTAGTAATAAAAAGGGGTAGAAAGTGGATGCCGTATTTTGGTGATCACCTTAATTTTCCTTGTTTTGTTTTAGCTTTATTATCTTTGTTTCAAACTAGCTGTTACACTTTACTGAATTTGTTGCAGATGCCAGAGTGGCACAGTTCGAACAAACTGCTTGGATTGTCTGGATAGAACAAATAGTGTGCAGGCATTCCTTGGCTTAGAGGTAAATAATAATAATAATAATAATAATAATAATAATAAGTTGTAATGTATGTATGTGACTTGCATCAAATGCCTCATTCAGTGCTTTTGTAATATTTATGTTTCTCATTAGTTACTTTTCATAAAATGAAATTATGCTTCAGGGGCGCCTGGGTG